AACTTCTCTAATGGAGGTTTTTCTTCCTATGACTTAGCTCTCTTTCTTTTCTCTTCTTTGTTTTTACACTCTGTCAGAGTCTGTATATCTATTCCCTCTTTTTCTTCTTATTATTATTATTATTATTATTATTATTATTATTATTATTATTATTATTATTATTATTATTATTATTATATTATTATTATTATTATTATTATTATTATTATTATTATTATTATTATTATTATTATTATTATTATTATTATTATTATTATTATTATTATTATTATTATTATTATTATTATTATTATTATTATTATTATTATTATTATTATTATTATTATTATTATTATTATTATTATTATTATTATTATTATTATTATTATTATTATTATTATTATTATTATTATTATTATTATTATATTATTATATTATTATTATTATTATTATTTATCCCAATAAAATAAAATAAATAATATCCCAGTTAATTATTTATTTAAATAATATTCTCCTTTTTATTATTTAAAATAAATAAAAAAATTATAATTAATTATTACTAATTAGTTCTACTTCTATCACCCCAATCTCTATATTGTTGCTCAAAACACCCCGAACACCTTAATTTCTCTATTTCTAAGACTACCACCTTACACCTAAGGTCTCCCCAATACATCAACATATCAACCAACACATATCATAAACACAATTTATTTACAAAAATTAGTTAAATAAATCGGGGCGTTACACTACATGTGATACGAAACTATACACCTCACCATCTGTGTTCACTAAATCCATGAGGTTTTCCATAATGACTACTATCATCTACATGCTGTGAGCATCATCCGCACCATGTAGAGACAGTGGAGGCGGCGACACATTATCAGAAATAATCCAACATCAACATGAGAAGATCCATCATGTGAAGATCCAACATGAGAAGGTCCAACATCATCCACACGCTGCCTAGGTGGTATGATTTGAGGGTTTGATATAGTAAGAAACCACTCAAAATATCCATCAACACACTCCACATAGAACTAAACTTCTACTGCACGATCTCTAGTGGCACGTGCAGAACTGATAATATTACCATAAAACGAACTATCAATGCCCTCAGATGGAATAGAAGGGACTAGTTATGAGATGTCTTGGACATATCCAAAATGGCTTAAACACCTCTTGGGCAAGTATCTAGTTACTAATTCCTCCCATTGTAGATAACCAAAAAAAGTATAGTCGAAATTATCAAAAAGAAGAAGAAAAAATATCTACTCAAAATAGACTTTTGGCTTGCATGCTAAGTTACTCCTAAAGAATACTTTGGTATTTGATCTTTATTATGGTACAAGACTCCAGTTCAATATAGTATATTACTATAGTGCTCAAAATATATCTAATATTATGCATACATGTTTCATGGCTTTTAATATCACTAGCATTCTTTTCCAAGCCATTAAAAAAAGTTATTTCACTTTTTCATACAGTGGTAACAGTTACAGGTTTTGGGTAACCGGTTACAGGCTTCAGCATTTCAAAATTTTAATGTTATCTACACTGGGTAACCGGTTACTGCCGGCTACTGCTGAAACGAATTTGAAAAACAAGACTATTTTGAATGTTGTTTGTTTGTTGCATTTGTCCATGAACCATTGCACTTCTACATTCATTTAGAACCTTTTGAAAGGGTACAATACATGTATATAATTAAAATATTTTTGAAGTAGAAACACACACACACACATACACAAAATAACAACAATCACAAACATACCATTCAACATTTTGTTTCTCATTTTCAAACAAGTGCATTAATTAATATTTGATCTTGCATGAAACTTTTACTCTTACATTTTCAAATACATCAATAGAAAAGTTTCATCATATGAATTGATCACTTTTGCAATATATTCATTAAATTGTTGTCTTGAAAGAGAAGAGATCAATACTTGGTATTGACATTGATTATAAACTTTCATATCTACTTCAAGAATTTGTTTCTAATCATTTTTCCAAAATGATTATGGTGTAACCTTACTGTCCAGATTTGTTGGAAGCAAGAGAGTATTAAGGGAGGATTGTTCTCTTTCTACTTTATATTACTTACATTGTTTTCATGATTGTTGAAAACTAGTGTGTACATTGAAGAAGATTGTTCTTCATGTACTTGGTTGAATCTTAAAGGATAGTTAAAGCATTTGATCTCCCTATAGGTTAGATAGTAAGTATCACATTTGAATATGGATAGATTGTATAATCATTCTAAACTATAGTGAAATTTCTTCCGTGTTGGCAAGAGGACTGGAGTACTCTCGAACTGTAAGCGGAACCATGATATATTCAGTGTTATTTTTTTCCTGCATTTACCGCTTTCATATTCATGCACAAACAAAAAAAATAAGAACATCATTGCATAAAAGAATAAAAATATGCAATCCACTTTATTCAGTCCCATCTTAGGCGCACTCAAAAACTAACATTTGGTATCAGAGCAAGTTAGGGTAACTTATTCCATTTCTATCAAAAATGGCTTTCGCACAACCAACATTTGGCATCACAGCTTCCGTAAATCAAAATTAGATTTTTAGAGATGGTGGTAGCAATAACAAGCCTATATTGTTTTGTGTTGAATACTTTGATTTTTGGAAAATTCGCATGAAGGCTCATTTAGAAGCACAAGGAGAAGAAATATAGGATGCTGTTCAAAATGGTCCATTTACTCCGACATATGTTATCAATGGTGTTGGAATATCAAATCCTAAAACATCATGGGATGACGATGATAATAAAAAAGGTCCTTTATGATAAGAAAGCAATCAATCTTCTTCAAGGTGCACTTTGCATGGATGAAATCTTCGGCATGCACAACGACAAAGCAAATTTGGAATACTTTGGTTGAAACTCATGAAAGAACCGTTGAAGTTAAGAGGTCAAGATTGAATACTTTAAGCCAAGAGTATGCACTTTTGAGAATGCAGACCCGAGAGACAATTCTCGACTTGAAAAAGAGATTCGTTCATCTGATGAACCATTTGATGGCACTCAGTAAGAATTTTACTGATGATGAATTAAATCTTAAAGTTCTTAGATCATTGCCCAGGGAATGACAACCAAAAGTGACAGTGATACTCGAAAAGAAAAATCTATCCCGAATGACTTCCGCAACATTATTTGGAAAACTTCAAGAACATGAAATCGAACTTGGAAAGCTAGAACAACATGAGATTCAAGATGAGGATTCCAAATGCGTTGCATTGAAAGTTAACTCAAGGGAAGAACTTGACGAAGATGATTCATAGGAATTCATGCACCTTGTAAAAAGGCTCGGTAAATTTTTCGCCAATAATGAGAAATCTTCCAACTTTGCAAAAAGTGAGAAACTTTTCAAAAAAAGAAGGCTCTTCGTCACTATACGATGTCAAATGCTATGAATATGGAAAAGGGGGACACACAAAGATGAAGTGCCTAAATCTGTCCAAGAAAAATGCTTACAAGGGAAGAAAAATCTCAAAATCCAAAAAGGATTACATTGAAGAAAAAGTAATACAAGTTCTTCATCTAATTTGGAAAGCGAAAAATATGCAAATCTCGTGTTTATGGCATTACAATAATCCGATGGTGAGAAGGAAGTAAATGTTACTAATTTTTATCCTAAGAAAAAAGTTGCTAAAAAGAAAACTTATGTTACAAGCAACTTTATCCCACTTGTTTATATTATGGTATTATTGGTCACACACATAATGCTTGTCATGCAAGAAATTCTAATTCTACTAATAAACATTATGTGTGGGTCAAGAAATGAACTAACCATGAAGGACCCAAATCACTTTGGGTACCTAGCAAAACTTAACTTGTTTTGTAGGTTTGCTTGAAGACCACTTCAAAATCTTTGATATCTTAATAAGTGGTTGATCCAAGCATATGATGAGAGGTATAAGCAAAATTTTAAATCTTATAGGCCAAGGGATGTGTCACATATGAGGAAAACATCAAATAAAAGATTATTGGCAAGGAAAAGATAAGCACTAACTTTCATATCCAATGAAGAAGTACTTCATAATGAAGGATTAAGACAAAATCTTCTAAAGGATAAGCCAACTAATATCATGCTATTCTTCTATTTTGATTATGATATTATTTTGTTTCTTTTTACCTTTATTTTTGCTAATGACAAAGGGGGAGAAGATATATGTGTATGCTTTGTCTCTATCTCTTGCAGAAATTGTCAACATACTCTATTGATCAATGAGAAGCATTGATCAAGGGGGAGTTATCATTAATAGTGGGAGCATATTGCATTTTCAAGCGATCCAAAGCATTTCACATAACAAGTGTTTGTCATCATCAAAAAGGGGGAGAATGCAGATTCATGATTCAACAATTTTATGTTTTGATGATTACAAACATCATGATCAAGGCAAAAGACATTATCAAAAAGAAGAAGAAAAAGTATCTACTCAAAATGGACTTTTGGCTTGCATGCTAAATTACTCCTAAAGAAGACTTTGGTATTTGATCTCCATTATGGTACAAGACTCCAATTCAATATTGTACGTTACTATAATGCTCAAAATATGTCTAACATTATGCATAAATTTTTCATGGCTTTTAATATCACTAGCATTGCATTTCCAAGCCATTAAGAAATGTTATTTCACTTTTTCATACAGTGGTAACCAGTTACAGGTTTCTTGTAACCGGTTATAGGCTTTTGCATTTCAAATTTTTAACATTACCTGCACTGGGCAACCGGTTACAGGCTTCAGCATTTCAAATTTTTAACGTTACCTGCACTGGGTAACCGGTTACTGCATTCTAGTAACCGGTTACCGCTGAACCGAATTTGGAAAACAAGACTATTTTGAATGCTGTTTGTTTGTTACATTT